ATAAATGATTCATAAATACTTTCTTAAAACTTTTTAAATGTAAAAATCCCGTTTTTTTCATGTGCTCTTCAGTTAGATTGTGGTCCAAGCTACGTCGGTGATAATATCCACACGTGTTAATGAATAAGCGTGGGACGCATCAGATATAGTCGAACACGCGCAACATTGTAGTCGTACAATTGACTGGTCAAAAATAATTTTAATTACACCTATTAACTATACGGGTAAGATGATACAGCATTTTGCAATGCTTAAGATCGCAGGAGAACGTCTTAAATCGCGACATTAATAAATTAATGATAACCCGCCATTGGAGACCATTTTTATTAAACTAAACAAGTCTGAAACTGTTACGTTGCAATAACATCATTTTTGTTTTAATTTTATGAATTTGCATAACGGTTAATTTGATACTATATTAGCGGAAATATCATTATAAAATAATAAAAATTTTATATAACTGAACATGATGTAATTTTTTATCATTCAAATATGAAATACATTTTTAACGATCTTTCTCTCTCTTTCTCTTTCTCTTTCTCTCTCTCTCTCTCTCTCTCTCTCTCTCTCTCTCTCTCTCTCTCTATATATATATATATATATATATATATATATATATATATATATATATATATATATATATATATATATATACAGGCCGCCGCGTCCCTTTATGACGCCTGGGGTCAAAATTTATCTAGCGCCCTGTCATATTGACCTAATCAAAAAAAATTTAGGTACTGTCCAAATGCTAAGTTTTTTACAGTTGAGAAGGCTTCTATTTATTTTTAAAGTAAATTTGAAATAAAGGTAAAAAAAGAAGCACAAGTTGACAAATGAACTTTATTATATTGCGAGTAACTGTAAATTTTAAATGGAATAGATATTTTAAATGCTTTATGAGAATTTGATTCCCGGGCTTTATTTAAAGCCAAACTTGCAATGACCTCGTCGTAGCACAGACTTTTTGCTAAATCGTGCTCAATAGATATAGCTAAGAGATTGGTAAGCTGGTCTTGACTCATTGTAGATCTTAGTGTTGTCTTGACTAGACCAAGCTTGCTGAAAGACCGCTCTCCTTCGGCGATGGAAACGGGAATCGTGTTAAAAATACGTAATAAAATGCATGTTGATTCGAAGATAGACTTTAGACCTTTTTGATAGATTCCATTTAATAGTTTCATTGAAGTGAGATATTCTTTTGGACCGAAAAGATTGGCACACTTCAGAGTATCCAGATGACGGACCTCTAAAATAAGTTTGTCTTCATCTACATCGTTCACATACATTTGCGCTAAAGTTTTACATTTTTACTCCAGGCTAGGTTGTTCAATTTCTTTTTCCTCACTCGACCTACTATTAGATTCTGAGAGCCATAGGAAAGAAAAACTGTTAGTCGTCTTTTCTGCAGCTTGAAATCTGTCTTCTATTTGTTGAATTAAAATATCGAGAGCGGTGTTGAATACATTCACCTCAAACTGCTTTTCATCGTTTTCTAAGAAATGAATACCCGTCCCTTGCTTCTCCGTAAAAAGTTTTCCTCTTTTTTGTCCTTTTTTGAACTAGCTTTGACTGAAACTCATAACTAGCTAGACCGGAGGCAACTAAATGTGCTTCATTAATTAATTTGGGCCAAGAAGATCTAAGTCTAGTAAGATCCTCGATAAGAATCTTCACAAGTTTCATCTCATCATTTAAAGAAATGTTTTCTGGTTGAAATGACACGCTGACATAGTTTATTGTCTGAACCCCTTTGAACCAGAAGGTTGTCATGATAATAAACTCAAATGACTGAATCCGTTTCTCTAAAGATTTTACGTCAATCAATAGATCAGCAGTTAAATCAAGATCACGAAATTTCTGCAAAGATAAAAGAATTTCTTTGGGTCGCTTAACCAACGGTTTCACAGCCTCAATGGAGTGCACCACCGGGTTTGTGAATGTATGTCCTAATATATTTACGTATTGTTTGCTTATTGTATAATATATTATAATGTATTTCAGTCAACGGATTTTTAAAAACAGTTTATTTTTTATGTTATTCCAGAAATGATATTTTTTAAGAACTCAATAGTAGAATTTTAGATGTTATTTCAATATTGCATATTTGAGACTATTCTTAGGGTTGCCATTGTCCAATTTTTTTTTTGGAGGAAAACGCTATCAAAATTTTAATTACAATTAGTTTAATGATGCAATCTTCATTGGAAGATTGAAAAATTGAATGATTTTCTCTACTGTGTCATAAATTGACCAACAGGTTGTACTTATATCCACCTTTTAAAAAAAAATGGCATCATATAAATTTTTCATAGGAAAAGCCAGTGGTGCATTTTTAGACAGGGGGAGGGGATAAAAAACTCTATTGAAAATATTATTAATAGTAGGGCCAAGGAGCTTTGGCCTTCCATTTACCAAATTTTTATTATAAAATATAGAAATAAATTAAATAAATTTGATTACACCCCCCTTCCTCCGCTTTCCCCAGAAAAAAGCATACACTACGATCCTTGCAAGGTAGCACCTTATGAAAGATTGTTAGATCCTTTTCAATACTACTTATAATAAATAATAACTTAACACACCAAAAGATACTTTACTCTTATAAATTCTGTATGCTTTTCTTGCTAAATTTATATATCTTTTATCTTTACTTAATATATATTTTTTTTTAGATAAAAGCAAATCCTAATAAGTTATCATTGGAGGCGCATCCAGTGCTACTTTATTGACTTTTCGGTGATTTTCAGCAGAATATAAATTTTATGGCAAATTCTATAAATTTAAATTACTTTACTGATCTTTATTTAATTAAATTACTGCATAATATACTATCTTAGTCTTGATGAAAAGTCTGAAATTGCCTTATGCAAATTTTCTCTTTATGACTTTTTATCTTACCCAAGTTGGTTTAAACTTTGCGTAAATCGCTTCTTCAGTTTGATCTGGAATTCTGAATAGACCACATTGAATTTCTTCACAAAAAGGAATAATGTGGGCTAACATGATGTGGACTTTCCATGTTATGGGTAAGGTGTAATTATAATCTTTTGAAAACTCTATTAGGTAATTATATGATTCTTTCAACATATCAACAAAATGCTTGACATTAGGATTACGGAAATCCACAACACGCTCTTATATCTTATGCATGTAGCAATAAGTGTTAACAGCCGATAATTATTCTGAAATGCCACCTATAGATCTATAAGATTATTCTATATCTTGTTACAGTTCACTCCATCAAATCCTCCTCCATGATAGTCATGTCTGAGAATATATTATTTGTTTCTTTTTCTTCTCCTGCTGCTTGAAACTCAGGAAGACAAAGATCAAGGCTTCTAAACGATCTTATATTTCCTGCCTTTACAGTTCTTTCACTTTCACAATGTAAACATGCATGGATGTCACCAAGGCCAGAGAAATCCATAATCAACCATAACCAACCCATAATCCCAGAGAAACCCATAATTAACCCATAAACTCAGAGAAACCCATAATCAACCCATAATCAACCCATAATTAACCAAATTCAAATCCCATGCAATATGAAAAGCCAGGCAATCGAGTTGGATAAAATTTGTTTTATATTCTGATATGTTTTAGGAATATCTTCAGCAGATGATATTTTAGCAGATGTTTTAAAATTATATTCTAACAGATGAAATTAACTTAAAACTAACCTTTTCTTTCTTATGTGTCAGGTCGGTAGTTTCCTTTTTTTTGCCAGTATGTACAAGTTAGTTACTGACACAAACTTTTATTCAGAGTGGAAAAAAAAGTTTTTTCTCTTAATCCTGAACTAACAAAAATATATTTAAACATCAAAAATCTTAGCATATGAAAAGATATTATATTTATAGCAGTTTTGTCATCAAAGAGGATAAAAAGTTAACTATTCAAACATAAGAACTTTATCTTAAATAAAATCTTTAACAGATAAAAAGATAATATATTTATAGCAATTTTGTCATCTAAGAAAAATACAATGTTAACTATTCGATATAAGAACTTTATCTTAAATCTATAGCATATGAAAAGATATATATATATATATATATATATATATATATATATATATATATATATATATATATATATATATATATATATATATATATATATATATATATATATATATATATATATATATATATATATATATATATATATATATATATATATATATATATATATATATATATATATATATATATATATATATATATATATATATATATATATATATATATTTATATATATATATATATAGGGGGAATGGGGCAAGGGTTGGTGGTTTTGTGACGACTCATACGGAACTTATTCCTAAAGCGTTACGATGTTGTGACGAGGGGGAAGTGGTCTAAAATAGTAAAAAATTGCGAGACGTAATTTGTGGACAACCCCTTATTAAAAATTTCTCCACCCTTATCTTGATATGGCATTAACCAAAAAGTAGATAATATCGGATTTCCCCATCACGTTTTCATGGAAACTCCCCCGTGGAAGAGTCGATCAATATTATTGAAAAACTCAAAAATAACCAGAACTTAATTAAATAAAAATATTTTTAGCAGTTTTGTCACCTTAGGAAATACAAAGTTAATTTTAAAAACAATTTTTATGTGTAAATTTGCTTTTTAAATCAGTTTATTAAACAATGAAACTATTATTTATAATTAGTTATGTGTGAGACCAAGTTAAATAAATATTAAAATAATTAACGTACTTCAAAAAAAGTTTTGTAATTATCACTTGTAATCAATTAACAATTGTCAATTTTAATTGGCTTATAAATTATAGTTAATTTAAGACAATTGATATTAGTAGCTTATATAATTAAAACAAATGTTTTTATTATTATATTGATATTATTTGTAAATAACGCTAGCAATTTTTTTTAACTTTTTGTGTATCAAAGTTTTTTTGATTAATGTATTGGATTTTTTAATACTTTCGTGCTTTACAATATTTTTAATAGATGTTATCGTAATGAATAC